AAAAAAAAAAAAAAAAAGGCATTAAAAGAAAAAAAGGCCGGCAGTCACGAGTGAAGAAGTTGGAGAGAGCTGGTGGGAGGCAGGATGAGGGGCTGTATTTCCCTGGGGAGAGGCTGGGGGTGAGGCCAGGGTGTAGAGGGACCTGGTGGGGGGGGTGATCCCCAGGGAAGGACTGACCCGGCACCTGGGCAGAGGCCGGCCGTGTTAGAGCAGGACACAAGCCCAGAGTGGCCCAATCCCTGGGCTGTGACATGGCCAGTGGGGCCTGGGCTGCCGCTTACCCAGGGCCAGAGGACGTTCGGGGTCTGGAGCCAGGTGGCCCGCAACTTTGCCTGGTTGAACAGGATATCCGTGTACATGTTGATGCTGTAGGCAGTGACAGGCTCAGCCATCCTGGGGTACTTCCCGTCACTGGGTGGGTTTGGGAACTTGGCCACACCTTCCCAGAAAAACCCTACATTTCTGGAGAGAGAAGGGTTGGGGGTCCCCAGGTCAAGAAGGGATGCAGCCTGGGGTCCCGGGGTCCGGGCAGGACTCAGCCAGACCACCGGGCAGCCCGGGACCTGCAGACCCTCCTGAGGGGCCCCGTCTCCCACCAGTGCAATGGGCAGATCAGTGGTGGGCGGACAGGAACTTTGCAGGTGGAGGGGGCTCCAAGCCAGGCCCCACATTCACCAGCTGTGGGACCTTGGGCACGCCACTCCCCGGGCCCACAGCACTTCAGCTGCCATGTGGAGCCCACCACCACCGTGTCCCTTCACCGCGGGGGAGACACAGGATCTGTTAGATTACTCCTTCCTTCCTCTCTCCCATCAGAACAGGGTTGAAGGACAGGGGCAGGGCTGGGACTAGGCTGCGGCAAGAGAGGCACCCACTTCAGGCTCAAGTCTCAGTGTCAACGCCAACGAGATGTAATGCAATATTTTAGAAAATCAAATCAATGCCCAAAAAAAATCATGATGAACAGAACCTCAGGGTGTTAGCCAAAGGCAGAGGCACTGGGACTTTCCCTTTGGCCTTGGGCTCCACTGGGGCTCGGCACGGCTCTGACCCCAAGAATGAGGCTCGGGGGTCTGGACAGCCCCCCAGTTAGGATCATCCTGCTTCACAGTGGGCAGCACAGGGTGACAAATATAGGATCCTGGGCCAGCCCCCAGGACGGCCACCCAAGCCTCTCTGACCGGTCTCCTCGTTGATTGCATGTACTGAAGGCTGTCCTGAGGATTAAATGACAATAATTGATGGAAAACAGAGAAAAATAGTGCCTGGCATAGAGGGGGCCTGACTGGAGGTGACGCCGGGCAGTGAGCCTGCCTGGGGCCTTCTCCCAAGCGGCCCTCCCATCGCGCCTGCTTCTCTCCCCTGTTCCAAGAGGGGCCACCATCGTGTCCCAGGCGTCACAGGTATAACGGGGCTGGCTGCTCTCATGACTCGAGGCCGGGAGCTGGCCGCCCAAACCGAACGCCGTTTGGCCACCTTTGCTAACCGCGGGGACCCCGGCTGAGTGGCGATGCCTCAGTTTCTCCTTGTGTGACATGGGGCACTCAGCGCGTCTCCCTCGGGTGCGGTGAGGGTCGCAGCGGAGGTAGTACAGGGACAGGGCTTGGAGGGGGCCTGGCCTCGGCGGGTGCTCACGAGCAGTAGCTGTATCTGTCCAGGACGTGCGTGAAGATTTCCTGCTGCCTCTTCCTCAGGGACGGGGACCCTCGCCACACGAACTGCAGCCCCTGCGCCCGGAGGGAACAGAGTAAGGGCTGAGGGCTGGCATGGCTGCCGGTCCCGCCTCCGCAGCCCCCGGGGTCTCTCTGGCCACCCTTCCCTCGGTCCTCTCTAGGTTCACGGACAGGCCTCCCTGCTGCGTCCTCCTGCAGATCCCATCTCACCCCCCCAGAGCCACAGGAGGCTGTGGATCTGCCCTCCTGAGGAGCCTTCCTGCTCATTCACTCCACCTCCTCCTCAATGCCACCTGCCAGACAAGCTCTGCTTGAATCCCCCCAGGCACGGGGAGCTCATCACCTCTCACTAAGTGGGCAGCCTAGGTTTTACAGTTCAGATGGATGGAAAGTGTTCAGGGTTACAAGCAGGGATAAAAGCCCATTCTGTTAGCATCGTCTCTGGGGAGTACCCCTGTTCCCTGACTCCTCCCCTGCGACTCGATTTCGGCCATGGCAGACGGGCAGAGCCTCGCCCAGCTCGCAGAGTTCCCTGGGCCAAGCTGAGCTGCCCCAGGAAGTGCTCAGTGTTCGGGGGGCTCATCAAGGTGTTACTTCTCTTGCCCACCTGGAGCCCAACCCACTTTGCCTGCCTCCTGCTGGGCAGGCCACCACTGCTCTCCCAGCCCTAACCCCAGGCTGCTTCCCTCCTTGGGGCGCAGCCCCTAACCCTGCACAGGATGCCTGCCTTAGGACCGGGGCAGCGGCGGGAGCACCCGGCACTCACCTGAGCCTTCTGCAAGTCGTTCTTCAGGTTGTAGTCGATCCGGGAGATGACATGGGCGTTGAACCCCGCCAAGGCAAACAGGGTGGGTGTCGTGGCAGATGCTCCAAATGGGTCGACCTGCCAGGAGAACTGCGGCCGGATCCCAAATGTTTCATAGAGAAAGCCATGTCCTTCTGCAAGAGAGGGCCGGTTAGGGGGTGGACCCCTAGCCCTCACTACCTTCTAGGGCGCTGGATGCCCTGTTCCCCGGGCAAGCAGGGTCTACTGCAGCAGGTGAATATACAAAGGGCTCCATCCCAGGTCACCCTATCATTCACTTATTCATCCATGACTCAAGAGCCGCCACCATGACCCAGACGTCAGGCTGAGCGATGCAGGGAGGAGACTGGGTGGTTTGGGAAATGAAGCTTCGTGGGATCCACTAGGGAGCCGGGGCCTTCCTGTCCCACAATGATGCAGCCCCAGGTTCACTGAGGCTTCTGGTCGCCTTGCTCTAGGTCCAGCCTGCAGGGTTAGCACCAGGGCGCTCAGGGTGGAGGGCACAGTGGGCTGAGACCTAAGCAGAGCACCCCTCTGTGGGCGCCCCTGAGGCAGGCCAGTCAGCACCCGTCCCTTCCCTGCCATGCCCACCAGCCAGGCCTGGAGCTGAGCCCTGGGGCCCCAGGGATGAATCAAATTCAGATTGCTGACAGAGGCCACCTGGAGTTGCAGGGTGAAGGAGGGAGGCAATAAGGAACTGGGGAGACCCAAAGGAGGGAGACTCCTCAGCTGAGTCCGAGATGAGCTGTTCGGGTGGAAACAAGAGGAAACATTATGATCAAAAACACAGGAGGGGTCCTAGATGGAGCAGGTAAAGGGCAGCGGAAGGCAGAGGAGGCCTGGTGAGGCCCTGGTGCCACACTGAGGAGACTGGGGAGTGTTATAAAAAGAGAACTGAGGCCTATTCAGTTTGGCTCAATGGTTAGAGCGTCAGCCCGAGGACTGAAGGGTCCCGGGTTCGATTCCAGCCAGGGGCACATGCCTCAGTTGCAGGCTCGATCCCTGGCCCTGGTCAGGATACATGCAGGAGGCAACCAATCGATGTGTCTCTCTCACACGATGTTTCTCTCCCTCTCTCCCACTCTCTCTAAAAAGCAATGGAAAAATACATCCTTGGGTGAGGATTTTAAAAACAAAGAGAGAGAGAACTGAAAGCGTTTACCATCACGGTCCCACTTATCTGGCGATGGCAACAGAACTGACACACCTTGCTCAGTTTTCACGGAGGAACAAGGCTCCAGGCCCTGCCCTCAGGCGGCCATGGGCAGGAGGCTCACTCTCTATGCCTCGCCTCCTTCACGGCCACAGGGGCCAGAGGACCACCTCCCGGGGTGTGAGTGTGTGCGAGGGGCACAGGACGAGCCCCTGGCACACAGAGCGCGTGTGGGAATCATCTTGAACAGAGAGGGACATGAGAGTCTGAGAAGAAAGGGTTTTGTCAGCAGCAAAGGGGTTAAGTGAAGTCTAGAAATAAGACAGCAAGACCCTGAGATAAGGGAAGGGCTCCAGGTTAAAGAGGGAGACAGTGCTCCGAAGACCCTTAGACAACATTCAATTCTATCTTGGTGTTTTACACACAGGACAACTGGGGCTCTTGCTATTGCGGCATGACCTAGGGCTGAGAGTCTCAGTAGCAGGCCTGGGTTCATTATGGCTCATCCACCATCTAGTTTCCCTTTTCTGGTCAGTGTTTCAGCTGCCCTAGTTTCCTCCCAACAGCTGCCGTTAGGATGCCGTTAAATGCTTCTTTTAAAGCATCTGATAAATGGTGAGAAAAGTAGTGGTGGGTGGTGATGGTAAGGTGCGGATGGGGTGAAGAAGGTGAAGGCAGTCGTCGTGGTGACCGTGAAGGTGGTGGTGCTGGTGGTAGAAGGGGTGGTTGTGAAAGTGATGGTGGTGATGCTGGTGGTTGTAATGGTGATGGTGGTGGTGGTGGGG